CAGGTTTGATTCCAGTCAAGGCCATGTACCTTGGTTGCAGTTTGGCCCCCAGCCCTGGTTGAGGGGTCGTCTGGGAGGCAACCAGTTGATGTGTCTCTTACACATCAGTGTCCCTCCCCCCCTCCCCCGCCCGGCCACACTCTATCTGAAGATAAATGAAAAAATATCCTCAGGTGAGGATTAAAACAACAACCAAAAAAATGGAGTCAGACTATCAAAGTAATCAGTTGTGTGACCTTGGGCAAGTTACCAGCTCTGTGACTCAACTTCCCCATATTTAAAATACAAAATAGTTATAATATCTACTTTCACCAGATTGTGGTCAGGATTAAATAAGGTAATATACTTAAGGAGTTTATAGTATAGGAGGAGTTTATAGTATAGGAGGTAACATTTAGTTAGGGCTCAATAGATACTGTTTTTAAACATCTTTTTAGTTTGGAGAGAGTGGTCTAGTAGCTAGACCTGCATCCACTACTGCTTTGCAGCAAACAGGTCAAGATCCCCCATAAATACACACTGTATGAAAAACAAAATGGTCTGACATAGTATGAATATTTTTCTTTAGGCTCTGCAGCTGGTCTGGAGGCCTTCAGACCTAGATTTTAGGAATGTACCTAAATATGTAACTGGTATCAAGTGACCTAAATAGCCAGGAACTCTGGGCCTCTCTTCCATAGTTGGAAAGACTGCTGGTCCACAGAGGAATGGTGTGCATGTGGGAGAGTTCACGGGCATGTGTTCTGTGCTGGCCAGATCCTGCAGCAGCTGAGCTGACACACCTCAGGCTCCCTACCAAGTCTTCCTGTGATTGCACCAGGAATATTACCTTCTTCCACCCCAGCTGACTGCCCAACTCTTCTTTACATTGGGACACTTCCTCTCTGGGAATACAGCACTGACTGCTTCATCTATAAAAATGAATAAGGCCCTGGCCGATTTGGCTCAGCATTTGAGTGTCAGCCTGAGGACTGAAGGGTTGTGAGTTCGATTCCAGTCAAAGGCACGTACCTGCGTTTTGGGTTTGATTACCGGCCCCAGTCTGGGTCGTTTGGGAGGCAACCGAAACAAACTGTCTCTCTCACATCGATGTCTCTCTCTCTCTCTCTCTCTCTCTCTTCTCTCTTCTCTCTCGCTCCCTCTCTCTCTTCCACTCTCTCTAGAAATCAATAGAAAAATATCCTCTGGTGAAGATTAACAACAACAAAAAAAGAATAAGGACTTCCGTCCAGGATCTAAAGGAAAATACCCCTTTCAGGATATAAAAACAGAAATAGCAGAGAATAATGTTTAAGAGCTCGATTCAGGATTCAGACAAGCATTAAGTTTGAATCTTGGCTTCCATACTTTTTGGCTGTGTGAACGTCACCATGTTGCTTATCCCTCTGAGCCTCTATTTCCTTATCTGGAGGAGGGGTTAATAAGTGATTACCATGGGGTTATTGTGAGGGATAAATATGATAATGTATGTTAGGTAATTAGACGAGAAGTGTTTCATAATGATAGCTATTAACAGTAGCTTTGGGTTTTGCTGCTCCTTCACATTTTGTGAGGACTCCAGAGTTCTTTAGAGAAATCTAAGTTCATCTGTTGCCAATAGTTTTCCTTAGCCAAGTACATGGAGAGTAATAGCTTGTTTAGCTTAGGGCAAAGGTGAGGCTAAAGAATAAAAATGGAACAATCTGACCTGGTTGGTGTGCATAGTGGTTAAAGCGTCATCCAATGCACCAAGGGGTTGCAGGTTTGATTCCTAGTCAGGACACATACCCAGGTTGCAAAGTTGATCCCTGGTCAGGGTGCGTAAGGGAGGCAAACTGATGGATGTTTCCTCTTTCTCTCTCTCTCTCCCTCCCTCCCTCTCTTTCTTTCTCTTTCTCTAGAATCAATGAAAAAACATATCCTCAGGTGAAGATCTAAAAAAAAAAGTGGAACAACCTAATTGTCCAAATTGATGAAATTATTCCTAGCTTAAAGATTTTCTAGCCAGGTTCCCAACAGCCCCTCACATAAACACTTATTACTACTATCTTTGGACTTTCCTCCAAGAGTCAATTAAATTAAACATTCATTTGAGTAATTGTTCTATGTCAGGCACTCTGCTAAGCACTAAAGGTTCAGATGTATAAGGCACTTTTTTTTTTTCTCTCTCAAAGAAATCAGTTTAGTTATTGCCCCTTTACCTATAAAATCTCCCGAAATCATCTTCTCTACTCCATCTTTTTTCACATCCTTCAAGATGCTTTTTAATCTAGTTCTGGTTGAGAACCTCTCTCTCTTTGTGCTTCCCATCATTCACCTAACTTTGCCTTCCTTCATCTCTTACACAACTCAATTATATCATGCATTTTCAATGTTCTCTGTTTAATGCATATGAATTTCATCTCCCCAATGAACTTATAAGGAACTCTAGGGCATAGGTCTTCTATTAATTCATTTTATATTCTATAGCATCTGCCATTCTGTTATTTCTACTTTAGATCATCAATGATGATTGTGAATGAAGTTTTATGAGTTTGTATGGCATATAGTTTCACTTATCCTTCTAAGTCAATTGGGTATGAGATAGATAGAGTTGGTGGGACAATTGCTACTTTCACATACTGCATCACCTGATTCACTTAGGATGCTTACTCTTTTTGCCTTCTAATTCTATATTTTCCAGTGTTGACGTTGAACATCAGATCACCGAATTCTGTGTAGAAAACACCATTTCTATTTTTGCATTTGGTCTTGACAGAACTTGAATAACTGTCATCCCCTTAGAAACTCCTCTAGAAAAGGACAAGGCAGCTGCTCAACACATTTGTAACTCAACAGCATGCAGGAGAGGAAGCAAAATGGATTTTGCTCCCATACCATCCTAAAGGGAAAATTTGCATCTCATCCTAGCTTAAATGTAGAATAATGCCTAGTGACTACAAGGATTCTCTTACTTTGGAAAAATATCCCAATTTCTCTGAATCACATACCTGGTCTCTCTTTTTACCATACTGCCATCCATGAGGTTGTGGACAAGTCAGTAGTAACATTCACTCAATTTGTACTTTTTATACCTGAACACTGCCATTTCTTCATAGTCTTAGAAAAATGTTAAAGAAAGAGACAAACCAACCTCAGTATACAGGAAAATATCCTCTTCCCTGGAGAACCTGCATATACGTAGGGGGTGGGTGAGCAAAGCTGAGGCAGGAAGAAGGCAGTTGTGCTTGTGTGCATGTGGGTGTACACATCTGTGTATGAATCAGAACCACCCCAAAGGGAGGAAAATGCTTAATCCTATCAGTCAAACTGGTGAAAAAGATAACAGGCTCTGGGCTATTTATAAACCTTAAATTGGCTTATTGAGCACTTTGCTGATCTCATTTTTTGAGTAATTGAGATGAAGGAGAGACAAGGAAAGGGTAATGAGAGATTTAGATCATGACTATATTTTTTTAAATAACATTGTTTTTCTAATAACAGTAGATGCCAGAAAAATATCCCAGAGTCAGAGAATTAGATAAAGTGGGATTCTATTTTAAAAACAAGGTAGAGATAACATTATCACTGAAGTCTGAGTGTAGAGGTGAAGAGGATTATCTGAATACTTTACTGATTTTATTTGATTTCAAGGGTGTTCTCCAGTGTCACTACTGCACAGGTGCCAAAAATATCTCTGCGCTCACAAATGGACCAGTGGATCATCCAAACTGGTTTGTGTGCACCAAGACACAATAAAGCCTTCAAAAAGAACTCTGGAGAGCCCTGGCCAGTTTGGCTCAGCAGTTAGAGCATTGGTCCATGGACCAGAGAGTCCCGGGGTCAGTTCCTGCTAAAGGCATGTACCTCCATTGACGTTTGTCCCCGGCCCTGGTTGGGTCTCTCTCACGTCGATGTTTCTCTCTCTTTCTCTTGCCCCCCTCTCTCCCTCCCGCTCTATCTGAAGATAAATGTAAAAATGTCCTCTAGTGAGGGTAAAAAAAAGGACTCTGGAGAGATGAAGCATACCTAGCCTGTCCTGCACCCCTTTCCACGGAGAGAAGGTAAAGTCCTCTGCCAAAGACAGCAGGAGAAACTCTCATCCTCTGAAATAACAGTAATGCACCATTGTCATCTATCTCCAGGGCCTCTCTGGAAAGAGGAGGTGTTTTCTAGAGATGAAGCCATATTTGAGGCTCCCTGCTGAGTGGAGTACAGTTAGGGCGTTGAAGTGGCCTGCATTGGGGACCAGGGAGTGGCCTGTCTCAGGGACACCCAGGCTCCCCAGCTTCAAAGCCTTTTAGCTGTGAAGCATTTTACCCATCAGTTCCTCCCTGACTCCACATTCTAGTTACTCCCGGTCCTTTAAGAACCTCACAGGGTGAAGCGATAGGGAGACTTCACTAGACAACTAGTATAAACTATACATTCACAGAAAGACACAATCTGTCTCTTCTTCCTCCTTTATTTTCTCATCTGTGAAATGGGAATAAAAGCCCTGTCACATACACTTCACAACGTGCTGCACAAGGTGAAAAGCTCTAGAAAGGCAAGGTGTTATTATGGGCATTGTAACTATTTTTATTATTACGTATCCCATAGGCCCATCATTTCATATAACACAAAACAAAATATCTACTAAATATGTCTTAAAGTCTAGTCTAGAGCCTACTGAAGAGATGGCTGCATAAAAGCTTGTTAAAATTCAGGTTCCCTAGCCCCACCTTAAGCCTACTGAATCAGAACCTTCAAGTGGGGAGCCAGAAGACCTGTATTTTTTCAACAAGCTCCCAGGCAATGCTGACCATCAGCCAGGTGTGTGATCCCTATTGGCCCATTCTGTGAGCGCTAGACAAAATTGTTCAGCTTGGTTTGGACAAAACTTGCCCAGCACGGGGTAGGTTACAGCACAGGTGACTGACAATCATTTTCTACAGGAATAGGAAGCAAAAATAGTACTTTAGAAGGGGGTTACGTTTCCACAGGAGGGCCACCAAGAGGGGGAGGGAAAGGTGGTGGGTGGGAGAAGGAATTGCACTCACCTACGATGATACCGCAAGCACTGACCAATCCAATCTCCTTCTTCAGGGCTACTCCACCCTCTCCGGACCCAGTCTCTGACTCGCTCCCACCTGGGTGGTTCTTTTCAGTGTTGTTTCGTTGCCTGGCTCCTTTTTCCATCTTTCTCAGTAAGATTTCAACCTCCGAAAGAGTTCTCTTTTTCTAAATATGAATGGGTGTAAATATATTTACAGAGCGAGCCTTTCCAATGAAAATGTCCTTTTCCAAAATAAGGACCACCCTACCCTCTTCAAAAAGACACAGGCAGATAAAAGAGAAAATTGAAAATATTTCCACTCTGTATCACACTTTCTTGTCACTCGTGCTTACAAATAAGGAAAATGCTGTCAAAGGGGAGGGGAAAGAAGAGACACAGATATTTAAATACAAAAATAAAACTGTACCAGCTACTCTGGCTGGAATTCTGGGAGGATGTGGATCTTCAGAAAACAGGATGGTTCTGCAATGTGGACCAGGCAGGGGCTTATTTCAGACGCTTCAAAAAGAGATAGTCTGGATTTCCCTCAGCTCTTCCCTTAAGAAAACAGATTTTTTACCTCCCCTTAACGTTTTCTTTCAGGAGGGAAAAAGTACTTTTCATTAACTGAAGGGGAAAAGGGCAATCCTCCAGCACTTCTCTTGCAGAAAAACAACTGTGGATCCAACTGGTTTGCTCTGGATCTTGTTTCCACCTGCTATGGGTTTCTTTTCCCCTCGTGGTCTTCTGCCTTCCGATTTTTCCAGATGTCCTCTTCTGTGCCGCTTGTCTTCTTGCCCTTGTTTTCCCGGCTCCGAGCTCCGTGCTCACGGCGCAGACGGCCCCATCTCTCTGGGTGGTAGGAGACGCTCAGGCACACACCGACGAACGTGCTTCCCTTTCGCGTTTGGTTTTATATGCTGGGCTAGCTCCGCCCTCACTCCGTCCATTCCTTTCCATCCCCACTCCGTCTCCTCCCTCCTCTGCAATTTAAATATCAGATCACAGAGAAGATGGGTTCAAATATTTCCCTTCGTAATCGGCTCTTTTTCTCCATGTCAACTGTTCTGGGAGAGTTCATTAGCTAGTATAGCGTTACAGAACATACAGCTTTATAAATAAGGAACCAGTGCAAACACTCGCATGTCATCAGAAAGACACTGGCGAAAGCACTAAAATATTTATATCTGGATCATTTGAGGATACTGGAGAGAAAGTTGTAAGGACATCATCTTCAAGTTTCTGAAAGTAGGAGGAGATCCACAAGCGGGGGAGGGGAATGGAAAGAATTAAGAACAATGGAAAAGAGGTTCATTTAGTATAAAGTGAGCTGTGAAGAGTATAGTGGAAACAGGCTCACAGGGAAGAGGTAATAGCTTCATTGTTCACAGCTTTTATTTAGCTGAGAGCTGTGGGAAAAAATGACTCGCACCCTGGTCCCAGGAAAGAATGACACAAAATCTGGTGGCATGGGGCCTTTCACAACTTCTAATATATTTTGCATCTATGTTATTTGAAAGGCAGATACAGGAGGGGGAGGGGAGTTATCAGCACCTCTCTGATCATGAAGCAGCAGATTGTTGATGTTAAGAGATGACTAACTTTTTGTTTGTTTGTTTGTTTTTGGTATGAGCCCCTAGCGGGAACCGAACCCAGGATTCTCTGGTCCACAGGCCTATGCTCCAACCGCTGAGCCAAACCGGCCAGGGAAAGAGAAGAGTAATTTATGACTGTATTAATATCGTGTCTTGGCTTCCCTGAAGAATTTCACCCAGAAACTACTGCCTTATCGTGAGAACAATGATGTCTATTTATAATTGTAAACTACTTTGAAAAAACAGCAAGAAGCAATACAACACACGACATGATAAATCTAAAATAGAATTATTTTGAATCTATATTAAATACATTACGCAAAAATATGTATTTGATTTTTTTTTTTTTATCCTCACTCGAGGATATTTTTCCATTTTTTGTAGAGATAGAGTGGGAGAGAGAGAGAGGAAGGGAGAGAGAGAGAGAGAGAAACATCGACGTGAAGGGACACATCGAGTGGCTGCCACCCGCTCGACCAACCAGGGCCGGGGACAAACTGCAACCGAAGTACGTGCCCTTAGCGGGAACCGAACCCGGGTCTCTCCGGACCGCAGGCCGACGCTCTAACCGCTGAGCCAAACTGGCCAGGGCTGTATTTGAGACCCGGGTTCGGTTCCGCTAAGGGCATGTACCTCGGTTGCAGTTTGTCCCCAGCCCTGGTTGGGTCGACTTGATGTGTCCCTTTCACATCGATGTTTCTCTCTCTCTCTCTCTCTCTCTCTCTCTCTCTCTCTCTCTCTCTCCTTCCCACTCTGTCTGAACAAAAAGTGGAAAAATGTCCTCGGGTGAGAATAAATAAATAAAAAGGAGAAACTTTGGTAGCAGAGGTAAGCATTTAAAATTTAAAACAAAAAAACAGGGTGGTTGAACTGTGGTAGCAAAAGCCTTTGCAGATGGGCAAAGTGCAATCAGCAGTTTCTTCCACTTTGCTCCTTGACCACTCAGCAGGTATTAAGAGATTTCAAAGTTTGAAAGTCCCACCCCTTCTCCTCTGCCAGTTCAAGATATTATGAATTGAAAGCCTCAGCAAAAAAAAAAAAAAAAGAAAGAAAGAAAGAAAGAAAGAAAAAGTAAGGAGTGGTGATGTAAAAATAATTTTTAACAAAAAGAACAGACATGGCAGGGGATATATAGAAAAATTTTTAATTGCCTCTGGCCTTTCCTAACTTTAGAAAGCCTAGGGAAAAATTAATGGATTCATTTTTAAACAATCTGATTTGAAGACTTCTGATCAAATTTCAACATCAAGGTATAAAATAAATACTCTTTCTGCTTTTCAAACATAAGTTCTTTCAGTAATTGTTTATATTTCTTTTTTTAAATATGTTTTTATTGATTTTTTAGAGAGACGGGAAGAGGGAGAGAGAGAGAGAAACATCGCTCAGCTGCTTCCTACATGCCCCTTACTGGGGATGGAGCCTGCAACCTGTACGGGTGTCCTAACTGGGAATTGAACCTGGGCCTTTCAGTCCATGGGACCTTGCTCAATCCACTGAGCCACACCAGCCGGGCAATAATTGTTTGTATTTCTAATTTAAATTATGTAGATTTTATATGAGATAAAACATGAATGTGACGAATTTGAGATCTCTTGCCCAAATCAGTGCAAACTGACCACAGTATGGTAAGCTTTAGCCATCTCAATTTATGAAGTAAGAAGCTAAAGGTGGGGTGGAAGTTGGGGTGGTGGTAGTAATGGAATGAAATACATTCTTGGGATGTAGTGGTACTAAGCACACCAAATTGGAAAGGAAGGGTTGTTGAAGATTAATGTTTCTATTTCTTTAGCACTTGAAGTTTGCAAGTAGCTTATGACTATCTATTAATGGTACAATGTAAGCTAGGAAAGGACTCTCCTCCCCTCCTTCAACAAAACCATTTATTTGTATTATATGGCTCTCTCTTCAGGTTGGGATGTTTTTGTGAAATAAACCCTAAGTGTGTTAAAGTTCCACATGACTAACACTGAACATAGGAGAGAAAAAAGTCTTGATGTAGTATGTTGAGAAAAATCTATAGAAATGATGATTGAAGTTTCTTACATTTTGAGCACTGAATTCTTTTTTATTCATAACTCTATTCTATATTTGCCTTTATATCTTTTATTCTACTTTCTACATTTACTGTCTACAAACTATTTTATATATATCTCAGTTTTTTTCCTCCTCACTGAATATTTTGGGTAGACAAGGCAGTAGTATTTTTTCTATTATAAACAATAAAAAGCCGAGGTTCAGAGAAGTGTCTTACCCGAGGTCAGAGACAAGAAAGACCCTTAACCTAGTAGTGGACAAGGTGGATATCAATGGTTTACATTGAGAACTTTTCCCAGGACACTATGGCTGCTTGCTGATGCCTCAACTTCCTTTGCAGGAAGTAAACAGAGAACCCTTTGATAGGTCCACGTCCTCTTCTTGAGTTGGTGTCATAACTGTGTCTCTTAGTGACCCACTGCGAAGCCAACACTTAATATCTGTTCAGTGTGACTCACAGGACTTAATGGGTCCTCCCTATCCTCCCACCTCAACATTTATCACCCCTTCACATGGTCCTTGGTTTGGTCATTTTGTAAGTACTTTAGTACAACTCTGTTTCCCATGCTTGGAAGACTGTTTCCTGTTGTTTTGCATGCTTAAGATGAAAAGAAAAAGAAATTAATTTTTTTTTTAACCAAGGAAAGAGTAAGTAAGAGAGTCATTTTCTTATGAATATGGATTTAGGAAGAGAAATACTATGTGAGGCTGACACCTACTGCACAAAGAGGAATATGGCATGGGGACATGCTACTTGTATAATAGTTAAACAAAAGCACTGTCCTTTCCAATATATTCCCTTCTTGAAACAACAGGTAAGACGTATTTGTTAATGCAAAGAAATAGAGCGCAAAGCTCATTCACTCCATTCTTGATTTAATTTTTCCTGGACCCAATAGATAAGCATGGTGTTTTTGTTTTTGTAACAGAGCTATGAAGTCTGAGGTCACCAAAAGAAGACCCAAATATCTTCCTGGAGGAAACTTACAGTCCATACCTCTTCTCCACTCTTCTTTTTGCATGTACATGCCCAGAGTCAGAAGGAAATCCTGATTTCAATTAAAGCCAGCTTTCTTCCTAGAGTCTTAGTGACCACTGCCTATGGTAATAATGGCTTCTTGAGCTAGTAGTTCTAGGAGCCTTTGTTTCATTAAAAATGGAAAGCAGATGGGGGGCGGAGATCGCTCCGAGGGCGGCGGGAGGCCGCGCCTGGGCGGTGCGCGCGTTGGATAGTTCCTGGTCAGCATAGAAATGTGGAATGTCTTGGCTGAATCCTCATGCAGACAAGATCATTATGGTCCTGGTAGGTAGGGCAAATATCCAGAGGAAGCCAGCCACTATGTTGTAAAGACATCCAAGGCCCTATGGAGAGTCTGCATGAAAAACTGCTGAGGCTTCCATTCAACTTCCAGCCATCAGCTTGCCAGCCATTGAGTGAGCCATCTTGGAGGTGGGTCCTCAGCCTCCCTGAGGCCTTCAAATGACTGCAGCCCCAGCCTACATGTTGATTACCGTATCATTAAAGACCCTGAGTCAGAATTGTCCAGCTAAGTCACTCCCAAATTCCTGAACTACAAAAATTGTGAGATAATAAATTAAATGTTTATTGTTTAAAAAAAAAAAAAAAAAAAAAGGAAAGCAGATGAAAATTAGTTCTCAACCTGCCAGCATGGCTGCCATCAGCAAATCATCAAACAAGTGCGGGTAAGTATTGGAGAAAAGGGGACTCTAGCACACTGTTGATGGGAATGCAGACTGGTGTAGCCACTATGGAAAGCAATATGGTGTTTCCTCAAAAAATTATAAATGGAACTGCCATTTGACCCAGTGATCCCACTTCTACGACTATATCCTAAGAAGCTTGAAGCACCAACCAGAAAGAATATATGCAACCCTATTTACAATAGCTAAAATCTGGAAGCAGCCCAAGTGTTCATCGGTAGATGAGTGGATAAAAAAGCTGTGGTAAATCTACACATGGAATACTATACAGCTGTAAGAAAGAAAGATCTTTTACTTTTTGAAATGACATGGAGGGACCTGGAGAGTATTATGCTACGTGAAATAAGCCAGTCAGAGAAAGATAAGTATCACATGACTTTACTTATTTGTGGAATATAATGAACAAAATAAGCTGACAAACAAAATAGATCCAGAGACTTGAAAGTAGGGAACAGACTGACAAACCTCAGAGTGAAGAAGGGTGGGGAGGTGGGAAGAGATAAACAAACCAAAGAAC